CGTCTTCTTCGATTATCAAGCCATTCATACCGTTCCTTCAAACATTACCCAAAAAAATAGAAATTTAGATTAGGTACCATTTTTTACGTACATAACTTACAATTTCAAGCCGTCTATAATTAGAATATACGGATGAGTAATAAGCAAATGCTCGTTCGGCGCATATTTATATATAATAATATTATAAATGTAAATAAAATAATGTAAATATGTAATTTTTCCAACTTCCTGCTTTATATTGAAATTATCTGTAATTATTTCCCCATTTCCTAAAAACCGTTGATCTTGTATCACAGCGCCGGATATTTATAAATTCTGTACGAGTTCAGTTTTCAAAAATCTACGACGTTAAGTTAAAAATACCTTTACGTGTAGTATGCGTTTATGTAATGAGGTTATTTTATGCCAGAGTAAATTTACTTCATCTTGCTCATAATACGTTTTTGCTGTATCACATTGTGGTACGAACCCATCGATTCCCTCCAGGATGGATGTCATAAAAAAAAATTTTAACGAACCACTTATACATTTCCTTAGATACTAATGAGGCAATTTGAAGTTTGGCACAACAATCTCATGTTTCAAAATCCAAAAGAACCGCGTAGCCAAGTGATACATTGGAGGACACAATAACGCATTTTTGTTTGTTTCTGGAAATGTGTTAAAAAGTTAAATCGCAATCGACAAGGTGATCATTTGGAAGTTCATTTCATTGCCTATTGAGATGATACACTAATTATATCCTATGAAAGGTTGAAATACAAATTGAAAAATCTAAATTGTCCATTCGAAATATTGTTAACGGTTAACGGTTAACAACAAAAAATTAGAAAAATGCATAAAACGAGCCAAGTGTTAAAGGAACATTTTCAAAATCAATGACTTATACACAGGGGGAAGCACACAACGTCGGTTCGTACTTCGCACAGCTTAAACAGCAACCAATTATTGTATTTGTCGTTTTTATTTTGTTATTCTTTCCATTCACTAACTTTATTTGTAGATGGAAACAATTCCAATTGTTTAAAAATACTAGGAAAAAGGGGCTAAAGATTACAATGGATACCTACTTGAATTTATTCTTAATTAGCAAGTTCTTTGATATCTTTAAATTAATGCGTCAAAAATTATAATTGTGGCTATTTTACTATAAATATTTTTGACAATTATTTTCTGTACTCACCTAAACAGTTATTAGTGGCAATTCATTTAAAAAGTAATGTTGGTTGTCTAAAAAACAGGCGTAATTAAAAAACTGCCACTCCAAAGCTGAATATGATCATTCAGTCGATATTATAGTAGGAGAGCTAGTGACATCTCTTTTTAAACAGTTTTATTATTAGACTATTAGATCCTGTTTCCAGTTTCCCTCGATTTCCCCAGCTTCTAAAATTTAATGCTAATTTTAGCTTCTGTGTCTGTCTCAGATTTCCAGTTTTCAAAGCTTGGTGCTTTTTAGTTTCCAATTCTGGGGGGAGGGGATCATCAAGAAATTTTCTGATATTTTCAAGTGTTACGTTCTTTCGATTGTTAATCTTTTCCACTCACTGTTTTTCAATCCCCAATGTGTAGAACCTATTTCTTATTTAAATTTTTCCGATTCCCAATTCCAGTTCCCACAGTCTATTTTCGGTTCCCTGATTTTGTCTTCAGTTTCAGAGGTCTATTTCTAATCTTCGGTTGTGTTTTCGTTTTTCAGTTTTTACGGTTGTTTGTGGTTTCAGGTTTTTAGAATGGGATCAAAGAGAATCTTTTTTAACACGTTTTTATTGGTTCTATTGCGGCTATCGATTTCAACCTCGTAGGGTCATCATCAGGCCGAGCGTCAATAAACATCTTTCCTGATAACTTACACATACTACTCCGCTAATAATAGTACATGCCTCATCATTTCATAGTATTGACGCTCGGCCTGATGATGACCCTACGAGGTTGAAATCGATAGCCGCAATAGAACCAATAAAAACGTGTTAAAAAAGATTCTCTTTGATCCCATTCTACATCGCACAACACGTTTAAAAACAATGGAACAATACATCAACCGAATTCAGGTTTTTAACCTCTTGAATTTTAATTTTCTTAGTTGCTGTTTCGTTCCGAATTTCAGAGTTTGGTTTGTGGATTCCAGATTTTTAATACCCAGTTTTCGGTTTTTTTATTTCTAATTTGAAAGTCGGTTTCGGTTCTCCATCCGGATTTCGTTTTACTAGTTTCCTACTAGTTCTTCGCTTCCACATATATTATATTACTTAGTAGATAAATAATAACGAACCTGGCTCAGTTCAAGGTAGCTCGCCATCTTACGGTCACCTTGTAAAGTAGAAATAAGTACAATCAGCATGTATATAGGTACATTATATTTCTTATAAATTGTGGTTACAATTGAGAGAAAAATTGAAATTTAGAATCTTATAGGGTGTTCGATTTAAAAAATGCAATTTTTGTGGGTCACGCCTTTAAGATCAATTTATTTTGGAAGTAAGTACATAATCAACGATTATACCAACCATAGTATTCATAAACTTTACCTGATAATCAAAACTATTGAACGTGAAATACCACCTATTAGAAACGAGATTAAAATTCTTTCTAAACGTGTGTACAAATTTGACTAAAAGATTGATTGTCCCTCACTCATCTCCCTACAATAAATCGAATATAGTTTTGATCGTCGAGCAACCTTTGAACTTTGAACGGCGAGCAAACTCTGGACTTTGAACGGCTACCAACCGTTGGACTTTAAAGGGCGACTTATCTTTGGACGTCGAACGGCGAGCAACTTTGAACGAACTTTGTTTTAATTGCGAAGATCATCAGATTGTTAACATGTAGAGTGTCGGAGACTTCTAATTAGGTTTGAAAAGACTCGTCAGGAGGGGATCGAGATAACTTTGACGGCACCCGAATTTAGCCTTATGGAATTATACATGAAAGTGATTTAGGATATCTCTATATGGTTATCGCTTGCTTTGGTTACGAGTGCTCATAATACGCCATCCATGACATGACTATTCGATACGCCTGAATGCGGACTAAAGTTCAACGTGCAGAGTACATAGCTTTCCGAGGTCAATATTTGAAGGGTAAATATCGCCCCATTTTCCGGAGTGAACAACCGAACGAGGTTTTGATATACTTCTCACTTTCTCACAATTTTAGAGAAAGTGAGAGGTTTGAGGTCAACGACTGATCGAACTAGGTTTTCACTCATTTACTGAAATCATCACGTGGCTGACATTGAAATATGATAGTACAAAAATGGGGCTATTGACTTCTGATGGCCTTGAAAATGAAATCAAGCAACCTAAACAAGGAGTCATGATATTTGATGACCTTGAAAGTAGAATATGTTACCCCAAAAAATAGAGGTTGTTGAACTTTGATGGCCTTGGAAAGAAAATATGACATGGATTAATTGGATTAATGACCATGTGAGTAAAATTTTACAGCGCAAAAAATGGGATCGGTGACGTTTGGTAACCTTGAAAATGAAATATGACGACACAACAAATGGATCAATAACCACCGATGTCCTTGAAAGCGAATGTCCTTGAACTTCACCTTCGTCTACTTGCCAAGACCACCAGCACGTGGCACGCAACATTCCAATTTGCCCTTGACCTACTTTGTAAGGGCACCGCAAGCTCGCGAGCAACCTTGAACTGTACCAGCTTCGGTATGTATACCGAGTGTCAATTTTAAAACTTGCTGTCGGCCATATTTTCCAAACTAAAGAAGATGTTGAAAATCGCGAAAAACCGTTTCGGGGGTATCGAGGGGGAACCAGAATGACGTTATGAGTGACAACCCCCCACTCCCCATTATTAAATTTTTGTTAAATTGTCTTAATGAATATTGACTTTATTGGTACCACTGGAAAGCATTTTTCAGTAGCTTTCCAACGATGTGTTACAAGTATGGGGTCGCCATTTAGGATTTTTGAAGAGGGGGGCTGGGGGGTTAAGGAGGTGGGGGGTTGTCACTCATAACGTCATTCTGGTTCCCCTTCGATACCCCCGAAACGGTTTTTCGTGATTTTCAATATCTTCTTTAGTTTGGAAAATATGGCCGACTGCAAGTTTTAAAATTGACACCCTGTATGTACATATATTGCTATCACTCATAAATTTTGTTTGCGTAATGGAGAAAAGATTATCAGCGCTACGGATGGTTCGTTGCAAAATAGTTGCTTTTATTTAATTTGGTTTTGTGTAAAATTTAGAGTGTATTTGTTGAGTTTTTTTTGTGTTAATGTTCATGAGTTTGGATAAGAAATAAATTGAAAGTTTTAATTTTAGATTTAAGGTGTTTGTAATTGTTTTTAAAAATGTTGGTACGTGTGTTGATGAACCCAGTAAATTTTGAGCCTGTTGTAATTTGGATAGAATGTTCTCTGTTACCTACTTTAGATCACGATCACATTCAAAGTCCAATAAATAAAAAGTCGAGGTACTTTTGGTAAAGGGGCCTATTGCTTCGAATATGTGCCCTTTCGAATAGCCACTGGCCAGGGATGTAAATACCAATAGGTCACTGTACCACCACTTTGGTAGGCTAATTAAGAAAAAGCGAATGTAACTTCAGCCAGGTGTTAGGGATTTTTTGTTTTCCAATGTAAGTTGGTACTATCCCCAAAGCGAATGTCCTTGAAAAAAAAAGCGAATGTAACTTCAGCGAGGTGAAGGTTACTGTCTTTCAAATTGTTAAAAGTTAGCGTACTTTCGTTACTATGTTTCTCTATTTGAAGGTTTCTGAGTTCTTTTCATTTGTTGATTACCTTACACTCCAGTTTACCTTGTGATATAATATTTGTAACCACTGGAAATATGGCTTTTATTAGCTTAAAGAAATCAACTAGACAATTAAATTAACTTTGACAATAACGATAAATGACTATCAAATGATAACTAGATAAAATATCATATCATTCTTCCCCTGTAGAATTTTCTTCTTCTGCAGAATTTTCTGCCCGTGTAGAATTTTCAATTCCACTTTCTACAACAAAGTTTTGAAACCGCGAGGGTGGCCTTCTAATTCGAGTAGACCTTCTAACCTCTTGTTCCGTCGAAGATCCATCAGAAGTTTGTAATTCTTGTGAGGCCTCAGTCTCTGAAGTTTCAAGACTAACGTCATCTTCACCCTCGTCAACGTTGTTTGGGAAGGGCGCTAAATGACGATTTGTCACGGTTGACATTTCTCCATTAGCTCTTCTAATTAAAGAGTAGTAAGGATTACTCTCGATAAGTTCAGCTTCTTCTACTACGGGATCAGTCTTTGAGTGACGGACATTCTTTTTTACTGTCCAGGCGTTGAAAGCCATGATGGTAGCGAATCCCCGTTTGGTGATCTTCGAGGGTACGTGAATAGTTTTTCATGTGGCGTAGCATTAATCGATGTACAAAGAAGTGATCGGATACAATGAAGGGACTTCCTCCCAGTTTCCAATTGACAAACTCTTTGAACGTAGACTGAGCTGAATAGTACGCCAAAGTGTTCCGTTCAAACGTTCCACTTGACCATTACCCTATGGATTGTATGGCGTCGTTCTTGAGGATGCAATGTTTGAGTTTTTTAGGAAATTTTTAAATTCTTCAGACATGAATGAGGTTCCTCTGTCACTGTGTATGTAAAGAGGCTGGCCAAAAGTGAGAAACAGGTCTTTCAGGCATTTAATGACTGTGGATGAGGTCATATCTTTGCATGGGTAAGCGAAGGGAAATTTGCTATATTCATCGATAATCGTTAAAATATATTTGTTTGAAGAATTAGAAGGGAGAGGACCTTTAAAATCAATATTAAGGCGTTCGAATGGAGACGTAGCCTTAATTAGTTGACCTTTTGCTTTCAAAAATCTTGGCTTAATTTCAGCGCACGTTGGACACAATGCAATCATCTCTTTTACATCATTTGCTATATACGGTAGGTTTTTAGAGCGTATCCAATGGAACATTCTACTTACTCCAGGATGGCAAAGCGCATTATGAAGCTGTTTTAATTTGTCGGTGTTCATGTACGCACAAACTCGTGACAGAGCGTCTGCTGTTGTGTTTTCCGAACCTGGTCTATATATAATGTCATATTTGTAGCAGGATAGCTCTAGCCTCCAGCGCATTATCTTCTCATTTTTAATCTTGCTATTGTGATTTTGATTCAACATGTACGTTACTGATTTTTGATCCGTAATTAAAAGAAAGTGTTTCCCAATCAGAAAATGTCTCCATTTCTTAAGACTTTCAACAATTGCACAAGCTTCCTTCTCTATTGATGAATGTCGACATTCTGGATTGGAAAGCGTTCGAGAGAAGAAAGCGACTGGACGACCCTTTTGCGTAAGCGTAGCGGCTATAGCAAAATCCGAGGCGTCAGTTTCAACAGTGAAAGTTTCATCATCATCTATTGCTTTCTTTATGTCTGATTTAATCTCTTGGAAGCATTTTAGAGCATCAGGTGTTAAAGGAAAACTTGAAACACAAGTTAAAGGTTTTATCTTCTCCGAAAATCTTTCAACCCATTTTGCATAGTGGGCGAACATTCCCAAAGCGCGTTTGAGTTCTGAGTTTTTAATGGGAGCTGGAAGTTCTAAAAGGGGTTTCAATCTCTCAGCGTCTGGTTTGATTGTGTTATTTTCGACAGTATAGCCAAGTAGATCGATTTTTGTTTTCTTAAAAACACATTTTCTTTCATTTAGTGTTAAGTTATATTTTCTCGCCGCATCCATAAACTTTTTTAGATTACGTTCATGTTCTAACTCATCTTTACCACATACTGTCACGTCATCTAAGTATACAAATGTACCTTCTAGTTTCTCTCTGGTTATGATGAAGTCTAGAGTCCTTTGAAACGCTGCTACACCATTGGTAACACCGAATGGAATTCTTGTAAACTGGTAAAGTTGTCCGCAGGCTTCAAAAGCAGTGTAGACTTTCTCTTTATCTAAAATGGTCATTTGATGATATGCGCTTTTTAAGTCGATCTGACTGAAGATTTTGTATTTCGATACTTTTAAGACGACCGTTTCCATGTTTGGTAATGGGAATGCATCCAATTCTGTAAACTTGTTAATAGTCATAGAGTAGTCTATTACTAGACGTTTTCGATGAGCGCCACCTCCCGCTACTAGGACTTGTGCTCTCCAGGGAGAAATGCTTGGTTCTATTACACCGTCTTCCAGTAATTTTGATATTTCTTGCTTGATAAATTCTTCGTCTTGTATACTGTATCGACGACTCCTTACGGCGATAGGTCTGATGTTAGGTGACAAATTAGTAAAAATAGATGCTGGTGGCACCGAGGACTGCATTACGTTGCAGATGCGTAATGGTTCATGGGGACCTCCCAATTCAAATTCAATTTTAGAATGTTCTTTTAGTAGGTCGTGTCCAACGATCACGTCCGCGCAGAGATTATCGACGATAAGAAGTGGTATTTGCCTGTAGTTGTGTTTATTCATGGTGATATTGGCAAAGCAAATACCTTCGACAACCGATACTTGATTCAGCGAGGCTAAGTTAACAGACTGTGTACATGGTTTTTGACGTAACTTCATTAGGCGCGCGATTTTGCTGTTTATAAAACTGACAGAACTGCCAGTGTCAACAAGAGCATCAGCTTTATAACCATTCACCGTGATTAGAATAGTTGCACCTTTCAAGCTTGACGGTGAAGCGGCAGATATTGTACTACAGTGAGATGAACCGTCATCGATAAGACTGTTGACTGTGTTTTTGAACGAAGCCGCGAGTTGTTGGTAGCGTTTCGTGATTTACATACATTTGAAAAATGACCTCTTTTAGAACACAGGTTACATATAGCATGGAAAGCTGGGCACTTAAACCTTTGATGTACGTTACCACCACAAAAGAAACAACATCTTACTGATCGTGAGGATGGTTCAAGTATTGTTTGTGATGGTCGGTGTTGTGTAGCCGCTGCTATGTTTGATGCTGTATCTTGTTTTTGTTCGTATATAGCATTAATTTGTGGTGAATTGTTACTTATTATTAGCGCGTCCTTTTCAGCTGTTTCAAGTGCAATAGCTTGATCAAGTGCTTCGGCAAGAGTAAGTTTTTTATTTTCTAGCAGGCGTTCTTTGATTTTACGAGAAAGCAAACCGGAGATCAAGGTGCTACGGATTGCTTGTTCTTCATGTTCTTGAGCGGTAACGGTTTCGAAAGAGCAATCTTTTGCCGCTAAACGTAAAGCTCTTACGTAGTCAGAGATGTTTTCATCCGCACGTTGTTTCCGGTTAAAAAGAATATGCCTGGCTAGAATTATATTTTTAGGTTTAATATAAATACCTTCTAAAGCTGCAATTGAGGCTTCGTAAGTTTCGCAAGTTTTGATATGTTTGTAGATTGAAGCTGATAGGTGATTTACTAAGAGCTTGCGTCTTAATGCATCTGGTATTAAATCAGTTTTTACTTCTTCATTCAAAAAACTTTCGAACGTTGACCTCCAGTGCTGCCATTGTGCATCCGCTTCTGCAGCATCAGGTTCGACATCAAATTTGTCAGGACGTAAATACCTCGTGATAGGAAAACTAGTTGACGATGGGTTTTCGTTAATCATTATTTTAAGCTAATAAAATTGATATAATATTTGTAACCACTGGAAATATGGCTTTTATTAGCTTAAAGAAATCAACTAGACAATTAAATTAACTTTGACAATAACGATAAATGACTATCAAATGATAACTAGATAAAATATCATATCACCTTGCCAATGATAAGCCTGTCGCTAATCGTGGAAAATTTGTCATTCTAACGAGGCGATTATAAATCTACTTTTTGATCTTCGACTAGCATTATTCAATTCATACCGGCGTTAATTATGATCACAAAATTCCAGATTTTCTTTCACTCCTAAAATCGTGCTCGTGCGTATTCAACGAAAGCCCGCCTCATAAAGTTGCCAATAAAATGTCTGAATTGGAAAAGCAATTTTCGACGAAAATATTACCTACATTGTGATACAAGTAAGTCACGCCAAGTTAACAAGTTACAAAAATTTTTTAAATATCACCTCACCTTGATGGAAAATTCCCCTCTTCACGTTCAAATTGAATCAAGGCAAATTTAATAATTTACCCTCCTGTTTTCGTCCTTATGAATATAATTTTTATGCGGAACGGTGATTAAACGTAATTAATTCAAAAGAACAACTTTTAATTAGTTCATGAAGTTGTACATTTACGCGAATTTTAAATCTTGATTGATTTTTTAGCCCATTTTTTAAGAATTAAAAAAAATGTGCTATTGTTTGCGTTTTGTCCGTCCGTCCGTCCGTCCGTCCGGACCCACTTGTACCGTTTTGAACTACTTCTAGGGGAATGGTCCTAGAGTCCTGGAATTTTTTACAGTAAGTAGCAAGTACTTGAAGGTGTGCGTAGCCTACCGATAGATCTAGCCGTGACATTGATTTAGTGACGTCACTACTGGAGATGGGCCACTGCAACGCGATACTATGTGTTTAAATGCAATTTGATTCGCGTGCGTGCTCATTTAACGCGAAAACAGTTAGTAATTACTTATTTACTTATTTTGAGCCGCAGGATTGTTATATGTTGTTTCCTAATTATAGACACGTGTTATTATGCAAAAATTTTATTAAATACGTACATAAACAACAAATACTCACTGAAAACCGAGCTGAAAACAAATAAAATTTATACATTCTAATACACACATCTGCCTTTTTTTAGCGTAACACAACGAAGTTGAGGTAACGCTTATGTGCTCGTTATTCCGTCGTCTGCCTATCTGTCTGTTCCATCGAGATCTCGGCCCCTGGACCACCTAGAGACTACAGGTTTTCGGTCATTTGTAGTTGCAAAGGTCTATATTTTCCCGTTACTCATCATTTACATCCTTTTCATATATGATGGCTGATTTTCAAAAATGGTGGGATACGTGTCTTCGGCAAGTTTAATCTGGTCTCATGGAACTGTTAATACTGTATCGTCTTATCTAGTCATCTTGTCTACCCGAATAATGAAAATGTCGGAGAAATGCTTTATACAAACCCTGGAGTAACTAGTAATTTCAAAATTGTCCCGGTGAATACATCTTGACCACTTTTTGTGATCGTCTTCATTTTTCGGAAAACGAAAAACCGCAAGGAACCTTGTCTCTTGAACTATAATTGCTTTTGCAACCAGGGACGCAGCACGTATTTGGCATTTTCTTACTTATTCTGTTCGAATACAGTTAATTTAAGTGTACAACATTAAACTACTTGGAATTAATTACATTAAAAGTCGATATGACGGCCGCCGTCAGTTGTGACGTCAACGCAATAGTGGGGATGAGTGTCACGGCTAGTTCTATCGGTAGGCTACGAGGTGTGCCAGACGGCCATCAAATTTCGCTGCCTAATTAACGATCAAAAGAACTTACCTGAAGTTCGATCGGAATTATATGAGGCGTCCGGTCCGAATATATCATTTGTAACACACTGTAGTACGTGCTTTTCCTACTACCATGCAACAAGGTTAAAAGATAAAGAAAAAACTCGCTCTCCCCCCTAAACGCCGCTCGTACCACTAGCAGTTGTTGTCATTTTCAAAGACGCTGTTTTTCAACGACGCTGGGCGGTAGGGGGAGGGCAATGATATATTCGGACCGGACGCCTCATATAATTCCGATCGAACTTCAGGTAAGTTCTTTTGATCGGTTAATTTATATTTCGGCGTCCGGTCCGAATATATCATTTTGTAACACACTGTAGATGTTTAAAGAATATATACGTCGTAAAAACAGCTATATTGTATGTAACGCAACAGTGTAGTACGCAAACACCATAAAAAGAAAAAAGAATTCTTAAGTGTACTCCTCCAAAGGGTGGTACCACTACGGTAAACTGGACAGAAAACTTAATAACTAATTAAAGTTTAAATACGGCATTCATAAACTCGTCTGAGACTGCCAGTGGTCGATTGTAAAAACGAGCGAAAGACGATGAATGTTCGGTCCAGCCCGCTGACTTCCTAATAGTGTCCAGGGACATACCATTCCTTAGGGCTGCAGATGTGGACGCATGTCTAGTGGAGTGGGCACAAAACAGAGTCATGTCCACTCCCGCTTCCTTAAGTGTCGCTTTTACCCAACGGCTCAGCGACTGTTTGTTTGCTTGCCCATGTGGTTTCTTGTAGGTCAAAAACAAGTTGTCGCAGCCCGTGGGTCTTACAGGGTCAGTCAGGGTTAAGTAAGACTTAATCAATCTGGATACGCACAGTCTTGCATTTTCCTCAAAAAAGGGCAAATTCAAACAGGGTTGTTTCCTTCCGGGTGCTGACGTTTTTATTTGGTCTGGAATTAGGATCTTTACGCCAGAGTCTAAAAACTTGATGTTGCTACACTTAATCAACGAGATTGTTTGGATCCTTTGTCCTGTTGCTAGGGCTAGCAAAGTCACCAGTTTCTGCAACAGTTGTTTTAGATTGCCATCAGGGGTGCTTCCCAAAAACTTTAGCACCTGTTGGGGGTCCCATGTAGCTTCATATCTAGGCCTTTGTGGTCTAATTCTAGATATCCCCTTCAAAAACCTTTTGAGGTTAGGATCTGAACTAATGTTCCCCGAGGTGATTAAGGTTAAAGCTGCTCTGTGGGAGTTGAAGGATCCATATCTATTTTCCGTGGTTTCCAGCAGGTTTTGTAAGAAGGATATTATCTTTAATACTTCGCCTTCATATGGGGAAATTTTCTGTTCCTCACAGAATTCCCACCAAAGTTTAAGTGTTGTGTTGTATTGCTTAACTGTGGAAACAGCTAAGGAGCTGAAAATAGTCTCTATGGCATTGTCCGGTAGTCCTTTTCGTTTGAAGGCCTCCCTGATAACCTCGCGACCACCAGGGTAAGGCTTCCTGATAAAGGGTGGAGGTGTCCGCTGAAAGGACAGAGCAAAAGATTATGTCTAGGTCTTAAAAACATAGGTTCGCCTACAATCAAATTTACAAGGAGTGGGTACCAAGGCTGAGCTTGCCAAAAAGGGACTACGAGGATCCCTGTTGCCTTGTCCTGTATTATCTTTTGAAGTACCCTAAGTACAAGCGAAAAGGGAGGGAAGGCATAGAAGAAAAGAGACGACCAATCTAAGGTAAAGGCGTCTACTGCCTCTGCCCCCGGGTCCCGAAACCAAGAGACGTATCTACTACACTGGTGGTTACTTTGTGAAGCAAACAGATCTATTTCAGGTTCCCCAAAGACTGAGACTATGTGAAAGTAAACAGTTCTGTTCAGCGCCCATTCCGTTTCAGGTAGCAGCAAACGCGATGCGTGATCAGCTTCAGAATTATCGCTAGAGCAAATGTACGAGGCGAAAATCCAAAGATTACTTGCCTCGCACCACTGTCAAATTTCCCTTGCCAGTTGATTTAACCTGGGGAATTGAACACTACCCATTCTGTTTACATAGGCTAGGGCCGTAGTGTTATCCGTTCGAATAAGGACATTAACATTCCTCAGATCTTTCGCAAAGCATTTCAGGCCATAAAACATAGCCTTGAGTTCTAGGAAATTTATATGATTGTCCTTTTCTACATCGGTCCACCAGCCGCGTGTACTTTCACCATCACAAACCGCTCCCCAGCCTGACAGGCTGGCATCGGTGTAAATTGTTAAATCAAAAGTATCACTCTTAACGTCATTGTACGCTTTGTCAATATTATTAAGCCACCAAGACATGTCTGAAAACAGATGAGGCTTCAGGCTCATTTTTGAGTTGTAATTTCCAGAGTTTTTAATTAAAGCCTGGTATTTGGCACGTTCGAAAACCTTCGTGTATAACCACCCGTATTTTATGGCTGGGCAGGCCGAGACAAGAATACCAATGAACTGAGAAAACTTACGTATTGTGCAAGTTGGGTGCTTTCGAAGAGAAATAATCCAAGATTTGATTCTTTCTCTCTTTTCTGGTGGCAGTTCTACTGACATTCTTATAGAATTCAAAAGGAATCCAAGAAATTTGCAATTCGTGTTAGGTGCGAATACGCTTTTTTCGAGGTTGATCAAGAAACCTAGAGATTCTAGCAACTGTATTGCCGTTAAAATATTATGGGAACACTCTTCCTTAGATCTACCCAAAAACAAAAAATCATCGAGGTAACTTACACATAGTATACCCTTGTTACGTAACTTTTGAATGACGGGCTTCATTAGCTTCGTAAAAGCATATGGAGCAGAAGCTAGACCAAAAGGCAAGCAAGTAAATTCGAAAAGCTGCCCTTGCCAGGAAAACCTGAGGTATTTTCTATGATCCCTGTGCACCGGCAGTAGAAAATATGCCTCTTTCAGGTCTAGAGTAGCAAAAAAAATCCCTTTTGGATTAATCTTCTTGCAGTTCGAACATCCTCCATTTTAAAATGGGGAGCAGATATAAAGGAATTTAACTTTTTGAGGTTGAGAATGAACCGTTTTTTACCATTGGGTTTATCAACCAAGAAAATTTTGGAGATAAATTGGTCCGGTAGAAGGTCACACCTCTCTATTGCGCCTAAATCCAATAGGTGGGCAATTTCTTTCAAAAAGTGCTTATTTGTCGTCCCTGAAGAACAGAACAAGGGCGGATGT